ATTTAACAGAAAAGTTGTTAAGCTGGGCATTTAACTATTTAACAGAGCTGCTATTTTTTGACTATTTTTTACAAGAAACTCTGTGTTTCGCCTTTTAACAGGGAATTTAGCGGGAGCTTTGTTTAAAAATTATGGCTGTCTAATTTTAGGCTAAAAATTGGTAAAATTGAAGAAATTAAGAAATTTTATAAGGAAACATAGATTTATTAAAAAAATAAAGAAACATTAGATACTAATAATTTGCAGACGCCACCTGGTTTTCCGTAAAACGTCTTTCACTTTTTTAGCTGACACTTGATGGTGCAGATTGCAGATTCATTCAGCTTAAAATTTTTATTTAAAACTATACAAATTGTTACGAAGTTCGCTTTTCTCGGATACTGTTCGTTTCGCTAGATCGTGATTATTCTTTTTAAGAGGAATGCATTTGCAGGTCTCTACTACAAGACTCTTTTATTTACAATGCTCTCGTCTTCTTAACTCTAATGCAAAACTGTTGACTGAAATTATTAAAACCCTATTATGTAATGAACCTAATAATACTGGTTTGATTAAACAGGTGTGCGCAAGATTTCGTGTGGGAAGACAATCCTTTGTCCAGCTGCTGCAGACGTCACCTGGTTTTCCGTAAATCGTCTTTCACTTTTTTCACTTGAACGTAAAAATATTCCAATTTTGCTTTCATATGATAATAAAATCAACCAATCATTGAACGAAAGAATAAATTCTTTACACGTGTAGGACAGTAACTTTTTAGTAAATATCGATATAAAATTTGGGCTCTAAGGCACCAAGAATTAGTAAACAGATTTTGCAAATTTTTCTTTTTGTTGAAAAATTTGTAGACTACGTAATCTACAAACGCCGTTTTCCAATATAAAAAAGCTGATTTTTTCTATTGCAAATGCGTTGTGATTTCAATGTATTTTCCTTTCTCTATTATGATTAGTTTCTTATGTAAAAGCTTTGTCACGGTATACAAAGCATACAAAGAACGTAAAAATTTAATGCAAAGAACGCTATAACACTTTTGTAGCTGAACATCACTAATGAAAAGGAACAAGAACAAAAACCGTTACTTAACGGCAATTTGCATTGTTATTGTTTATTTTCGCGATGTCCATTTGTAAGTTTTGATCTGCTCGAAAAGACTGCACAAAAATTGTTATTTTCTAAGAAATAAGAGGAAAAAATTGTTTTGATGAAAAAAAGTCATATATTTGTGAAATTATTTTTATTTTATGCTTTAGCTTTTTAAAAATTTGCTGTGTAAAATTTGAAAATTGTACATTCAGAAAAATTTCATAAAAACAAAAAAAAAGTCATTTCTCAAGAGTACCGACATCTGTTCAAGAACTTATTGATAAAGGCTATACACGCTGGCGAAATATCAATGAATTTATAGATAAATCGAAATCGGTCATAGAGTTTTATCGTGCCTATTGCAACTTTAATACGAAGCAATCAGGAGCTCCTATTATTGGCGGCAGGGCACATATGCCCAAAAGTATTTCAATAAATAAATGGTATACAATATTTTATTGCGTGCTACAAAAAAGGAAGTAATCTGAAATCTTTTGGTAAAAATGGCAAAAAAAAGAGATTATACTCGTTTTTTGTTATTATACAAGCATAACCTTGCTATTTCAATTTTATTTAAGCAAAAATTATATGTAAAAAAGTTACTGTTTTTTCATACAATTAAATAAAGGATTTCAAATTTATTCAAACTACCTGTATGTAATTTATATAATGTAATATAAAATAGTATAATAGTACATATATAAAATACATCCAAATGTCATTAATTAAATAAAATGCAAAACTAATTTAAATGAAAAAAGATATCGAGACGTTTTTGAATTCAAAAAATGGCTTCCGTTACTTTTACATAATGTAATATAAAGTATCCCGACATATTTACAGAGCATGGCCGATTTTTTCCGTTTTTGCACAAGTAGAAAACTAATTATTCGTTTGAATTTGATTAAATATATTTTATAAAATATACTTGGCTATGAGGTGAATAGAAAATGTGTATTACGGGATATTTGTAGCAGCCAAGCGGCATAAATTGGTTTCATAAATTAGTTTATAAAATCGAACCTTTTAAGCATAAGTTAATGTGAAACTTTTAATCACAGTATTACATATTATAACTACTAGAGAAAGCCTTAGCTGCATCCATTGACTAACTTTCATTATGATCTATGGATTTCATTCACCATTTTAAGTTACTATTTTTATATACTCTACACCACTTGCGACACAAGGATATATTAAGATTGTACGGATGTAAGCAACAACTAAAACGACTTTATATAGACTCACCTTCTATTATACCGATCTAAGCTTGTCAGTCTGCCTCTTGTCGTGGTCTCGTGTTAAACCTACAGGCCGCGACATTTGAGTCATTTTGATAAAATTTGGTACAATAATACTTTTTGAAAATGGTTCAGTTAGGACCAACTTTTTCGATCACACCTTAACACCTTATTTTCAAAATTCGGATAACGTCAGGGTGGTCAGGTGGTCTAGGCTACCACAACTACAATATTTTTATTTGTTTTATTATAAAAATGATTTGCTCTAAACACTGTTTTATACTCAAACATGGTTTATTCACCACATATTTATTTTATTCATCTTATATCAATCATATTTTTATATTTTCACTTGCATTGAAAATTCTACAACCGTCCCAGATATAAAATATATTTATGCAATTCCTTTCAGCTATATTAGTTGACAAAATTACTTTCCGGTAGCCCGGTACAGACCGATGGAATACATAAGTTGTTCATTGGGTGATATTAAAGAGTGTAAACGCATGAGATAAAATTTAATTCTGCACGTATTGCAAGTAATAGGAGACCGTTAGCGAATTTTTTTTTATGCATAATAAAAATTTTTAGCTTGCAGACATCATTGAATTCTTTAATTGCGTGGTCCATAGGAAAAATTTCGTAAATTCCTAGCAAAAATATTAACATCTATGCTTTATTAGGAGACAAACAGGTCTTATTCAATTCGACAATTTTTTTTTCAATATTATAGAAAATTACCAGCCGTAGGTAGCTATTTTATAAGTTCTGCTTTCCGGGGATTTTTATGTTAAATGGGAAAACAAAGCTTGTGTTCTCTTTTTCGTCATTTTATTTTCAAGCAAAGAAAGAAAAGTTATTATTTGATATAACACATTTTTTTGTTTGCTTGGCGTCGTAATCGAAGGGGAAAGTAAATCTATCAGGGCCAATGAACCAATTTAGATGATATTCTAACAGAACCAGACAGGAGCAAAGAAATTAAATTTTGAGGTAAAATTTTTCGCTCCCTTTTAAGTTGAATCTGATCATGTAGTCTTAATTAGGATATTAAGAAAGTATTTAAACATACATTCACGTGTTTTTTACATATGGATATGCTTCTACACTTTACTTTGCAGAACGCATACTGGCGAAAAACCAATGTGCTTTATGTCCTTGGAAATTTAATCAGTCTTCTGCTTTAACCAGACACTTAAAGCAGCATACGAAGAGGTAAGAAGCACCAGCTGTACGTTTAGCAAATGTAAAATCCAAATAATACTTTTAGCAAACCATCTAAATCGTCACAGCGAACTCAAAAAGAAGAAGTAAATTATAGGCATTTAACCAATATTTTTATGTATGACTTCCCAAAAGAAACGAATTCGATATCGGATTATACGCAAAGGCTGCAACTGCCCCAATCTAAAACTCAAAATGAAATGAATTTGCTGCCTCACCACATTTATTAAGACTTCTGCATGTAAACGCAACAGCTCAGGACTTGTACGCGGCTGCACTGTCTGTAATTCGTATTCGAATTGTGATTCATTCAATTGTGTGCATTTTTTGAAGTTTGATGTGAAAGTTTTCCTTGCGTGCTTTCTCATCTGGCAAACCCACAGGTGGACCGTACATTAAAATACCTTGCGGGAGTTTTATACTCATTCTCTTTCTTTGAACGTTATATTAACGTCACATAATTTTAATGTATGTTTCATATTTTTGGCATATGCACAAAAATGCCGCGAATACAGAAACCGTGAATACGGAATGGTAATTTATATGGGATTATAGGGGATACGTTCCTAGGTGACAAAATAAAAAAAATCAATCATATAAGCTATACTATTTTTGTTGTAAGCTATACTTTTTTGTCGTAAGCTATACTATTTTTGTCGTAAGCTATACTTTTTTATCGTAAGCTATACTTTTTTGTCGTAAGCTATACTACTTTTGTTGTAAGCTATACTTTTTTGTCGTAAGCTATACTATTTTTGTCGTAAGCTATACTTTTTTGTCGCAAGCTATACTATTTTTGTTGTAAGCTATACTTTTTTGTCGTAAGCTATACTTTTTTGTCGCAAGCTATACTTTTTTGCCGTAAGCTATACTTTTTTGTCGCAAGCTATACTTTTTTGTCGTAAACTATACTTTTTTGTCATAAGCTATACTATTTTGGTTGTAAGCTATACTTTTTTGTCGTAAGCTATACTATTTGTGTCGTAAGCTATACTTTTTTGTTGCAAGCTATACTTTTTTGTCGTAAGCTATACTTTTTTTTCGTAAGCTATACTTTTTTGTCGTAAGCTATACTATTTGTGTCGTAAGCTATATTTTTTTGTCGCAATGATACCAGCTAACAGCTTTTTTTTTTTATTTGAAATAATTCGCAATGATACCAGCTAACAGCTTTTTTTTATTTGAAGACTTTGGTGACATTATTAAATGTCGATATGTGTTATTTGCAAAGAAGCGTGTTATATCTTCAGCTGATCGCTATTAACATTCACAATGAGAGTTTTCTTTTATTCATTCACAATAGAGGAGTTTTTGAACTGTTATTACAGGGCTGCCCAAGTATTCTATTTTTCAGAGTGTTTGTTAAAAGGAAATTTTACAAAAACAACCCAACAGTGCCTTCGCTTTGTTAAAGGAAGCAAATTTATCAAAAAACTGGTAAATAATACCGATATGGATTGGGCCGAAGAATTGAAAATGTCGATTAGAAAAGTATTTATTGTATCAGAAAACTATTTCAAACGATTATTTAAATACATTTTATCAATAAACAGCTGCTCGAAAGGGTCGACGTTCCAGAAGTCGTGATCTGCTGAAAGATACCACATCTTCGGCCCAGACCTCACAAAGCTTAACTTCGAATTCTACTAATAATGTCAGTCGAGGGACTTCATCTAATAACAATGACATATGCCTATTACTTTACCAGTAACTTCGTCTACTGCTACTGCAATGCAATATTTTGCATTTAAGTACAACTTCGACACCACCAGATCCGAAAAAACCGCCTGTTTTGAGAAGTATTTCTGTGGGATGGGCTGACAGAAGCCTAGGAAAATTATCGAAGTGCCTATAACAAAATGAATATTTGGTGTTAATTCATACATATATTCGTACAAGTGGTTTAAATGAATTTGCAAATTTTTAATTTAATTGTATGAAAAAAGAGCATTTATCTTCCCTTAAAAGCATTCTGACTAGTTTTAGTAAATTTTTGGAGACCTGCCGTGCGATTTTCGCATATTGATAACATCTGAGAGTAAGCGTTTCTTATTCTCAATAATTTGTATAAAAATTGCCTACATCTGAGAATAGGCGTACATACATACATTTCATGTATGCAGCCAGCTTTCCCAATGATGTAGATAAATTGACAAAAAACCGAAGCAAAAGTACACATTATCAAATATTTAACTGATATGCAGCTGGCCCAGCATAATAAATACTGAAAAATTATCAATGCAATAACGAATCATAACAATAGTATAGAATCCATTATAACTGACCAACAAACCGGATTAAATTACAAAAGAAGATTGCGAAGGAAATATGATCTGTATAAAGGAATTTTTATAACTGAATTATTCAGTTTTTTTTTTTTTATTAAAATATTCTGTTAATAGTCCTTTGCAAATATACATGGCAATAATATATAAGATTAACTAATTAAGATTAATGAATTGTTGAAAAACAAATTATGGATAGCAATGTGCACATTTAAGAACAATTGTAAGTGTAAAAAAAATTTTAAAAAAAGACATAATTTATAAAAAGTTAAGAAAAAAAAAACAACCCTTGGATATAAGAATTGGAATAAAAAGTTTAATAGAGAATCGGTAGAAAGAAAAAATCATTTATTAAACTTTAATAGAATAATATAATATTGAATTGCAAGTAAAAAGTTATCTGAGATTTTCGAGCGTGATATTTACCCTTCAATTAAGGCTTCATCGTTCTATTTATTATATCTATTAGGCTCTTCACGTTTTTTTGGACAAAATTGAAGATCATTTATTTATAGTGAATAATACACATCTCTAGCAGTATGTTCAATTGGGTATGAAATAAAAGAACTTGAATACTAGAATACAAGATGCCAAGTGTGTTAATTCTAAATTAAATGTCGCGAGCGTCACGACGGTATATGAGAGACAACGGGCATGGGTATAAAGGATGCAGTTTCGCAAAGTTTTTTTATCTGCTTTAAATTCAAATCGCAACTGCATGACCTTACCTGTTCCAGAAACAGATAATTAACTTTACCTATACTAGATAAAATGTTTCATTGCCTAAATGCCAATAGGTTATAGATGGGTGACTTGATCGCAAGACGGAGTGGAGATACATATGCTGGACATAGTTTATTAAATGTGCTGTTTATCTAATTATAATATACATTCATACAGTTTGGTAGCACTTCAAAGGTATAAAGTTTTTCCGGTAATTGCGAACAAATCCTTGTTCCAATTTAGCAGGGCTTAATCATAACAATCGAAAATTAATACCTCACACTAACTGGGATTGTATACACGTATTTTGCAGTACCTCCGATTTTTACCTATTACGAAAATATGACAGCTTCAATATCCATCCTCTGGTATGCACAAACAAGCAATATTATGGAGCGATGTATTCACATGCAGTCCTAAGAGTTATTAACTATCCGCTCCGAATCGCAACAATCGCACTTTTTGAACGGAAAGAAAATCGAAATGAAATGGTCTTGAATAAAGAGAACATAGTGTCGCTAACTACCGACAATAGTGACACATGAGGGGTTGCTAATGGATCCAAGCATTTTGATAAACGTGTATATAAACCTATACGAACACCTATATAAAAAGTTGTAGATAAAATTTAAGTTTCATAGAAGTTTTATTTGCATTCTTCACTATAACTTCTTCGAATTCCTGCAGTTTAGGTTTTAATTAATTTTTTTTTGTAAATTCATCTTTAAAATAAGCTTATTTCAGCCAAAGTTTGCAACTTTTTTAATTTTACATTATTATTTACACCTTTACCAGCTCCTTATGCACTCAACATGTTCGTACGTAAAAGCAATGTTAATAAGTTGTGCGTGTACGTGTGTGCATGTGTCTATCTATGCATGTTGAAAAAAATTTATTAAAATAAACAGGCGGTTGTTTACAAATACAGACTGACTTTTTTAATTATTCTCAATTGTAAACAAATACAGACCGACTCTTTGAATTATTCTCAATTCTAAATAAATGCAGAGTAACTTTTTATACGCTTATTCTCAAACGCGACCAAATTTACACGCTTATTCTCAGATGCTCGCAATTTTTATACAAATACTTGAACAATTATTAAAAATTGTAAACAAATTGGACGCTTATTCCCACATGTTTGGAATTATTGAGAATCATTTTCAGTTGGCGCGAAATTATTGATTTACGGATAGAAAAATTTGTAAGAAAACCATTAAACTAGACAAAAAGATTAATTATAATTATGGTAACTTAAAAGGGAAGTCAGCAGTGTTAATAAAGGCAGTTAGCTGCTTAAGATGATCTTAGTTGTGAGCACGAAAGATATAATGTAGGTTATGATATTGAAATTCTCAAATGAATATCTAGTGTCTCGAAGTTTCATTTTGCCAAGTAATTCCGAGATGTACCTTACCTTATCGGTGGCGTAAACTGTAAAATCATTGTGTCGATCTAATTAAAGTCTTTCCTGATGTGTAGCTCGAAGATCCAACTATGGAAAATTTTTTTTTGTACTAACTATTGACATGAAAGGATTGCGTTTACTTTATACAGACCTCCTTACTGGGATAAAGTTGACTTTTTCCAAATTATGACAAAATTTTAAATAGCGACTTAGACAGCTGCCGAAGACTATATCTTTCGTAATATTCCATTGAGAAATTAATTGAGTGGGACTTGAAAAAGACAGATCTAACGAACTTCCAGTACTCAGACCACAATTGGAGTGCAAAAAGTTGGTATACGTCTATGTGACCAATTGAAGGGTGCATAGTTTTTAATGTTAAAAAGGGTCTTTTTCCCTCTTGCTCGGAACCGAGTCGCCAAAACTTGTGTGTCTTGAGTTAAAGTTGCGTTATGCCCTTGCAAAGATGTTAACACTGTCAAATTTTTTGGCTTATTTTTTATATTCCACCAAATAGCCAAATGGCAAAGTGTAGGTTAATTTAATATCTTCATCAGGTAAAAACAAGTGAAAACATAGTGGGACAGGGCCCACTACTACGCTATACCACTTCGGTTTATAAAGTTATTCCGTAAAGGTTATATTATAAGAAATTCCATAAAGTGGAATAAAAAATAACGTAAGGCAAGAAGAAAAATTGTTCCAAGGCCCCGTAGTAAATTAGCTACACATGTCGTAGAATAAATATACACCAAAGAGACATAAAAAACATACTTTTTCTGGGAATCTCAGTTGGGTCTCCTTCTCAATACATGAAATATATTTTAAATAAACGCACTTACCTTCAATATATATTACCTTCAATTATATTTTTTTCTTTCTCTTGTTACAATTTCTAGAAAAATTCTCCCTCAAAACTTTTATTTTGTTTTTGCTAAAAACACCTTTAGCATAATTCTCTGTTTAAAAAAAAATTTCTTTATTCTACACAAAAACCAAATAAGACGAAAATTTGAAAATTTAACATATATCAAATTATTTATTTATTTATTTTGCTTGGACATTTTTCAATTTTTTCAGTTATTATTATTGTTTTCAATGAACTCCAATTATTTCATTTTTCCCTCCACTATATGTTGATTGCAGAGTTATTTTTAAAATGATGTTAACGCTGGGATGGTAAAAAATTATTATTTATATTATAAGAACGACGAAAAGATTATGACCATTTTTTCTTGTATTTTGAATTGACAGATTTGCAGTCTGTCTGCTTTTTAAATAGAGATGGAGTCGCAATAAGATCTTCCTACTGCTCATATACGAGTGAGATCACATACATCTTTTCAGAAGCCAATTCCAACTAAATCTTCTGCGAAACAATTTCTTCTTCTTTTCCAAATTCAAATTTCATTAATTTCCATGTTTACTCTTTCTACTTAAGTCATTTTCACGCTTTCATGTACGACTAAATTTAACCATAGCGGACAGATAGGCGTCTACGACATTGGGTACGGACATATGCACATTTAAATAACACGATCAATTTTATTTTGACAGTTCGCGAGTCGCGGCCAATGTTATTATCGTTCATTCTAGATGAATGAAGCTGTAAAAAGAGAGTAAAGTTACTTTCGCTTTCCATTGCTTTGCTTTTTCACTTTTGATAACGCTTACTTGAAAAGCTATCAAAACGAGCCCAAAAAATTAACATTAATTTATGAATCCTGTTGATTCGTAAAATTTTCCCGAAAGCGCGCGCAGGTATGCGAAAGGAACTAATTTATGTAAATTGTGCATAATATATATTGCACTAGTTTTTCTCAATAAATGTCCATATTAGTGGCACATCAGTGATAAGAAGCAATCTGCTTGCCAGTCTAGCAGCGATTCTGTTTTCAATAATCTCTTATATCAGGTATCGTGAGTACATTGAAAAAGATATTTGAATTCATAAAGTGTGCGTTTTTTCTACTGAAATTGCGGTAAGCTTTAAGCCTGCAGATGTCTGAAACAACTCTACCTTAGCTTGAATAATTATCTGCTTGGCAACGAATCTGAAATGGTGTAGTTTACCAAAGATTCAAGTTTCAATCGATTTTCTATAAAAAAGATGCTTCTCTTCGATATAATGTGATGGCTTAGAAAAAATTAGAAATTGTGTTTAGCATTTATTTTGATAATAGGCTGAAGGCTTTGCAATGTTAGTGCTATGCACCATTTTTTCAGATGTGAACTATTTTTTTTTTCTCGAAGACAAATTATTTTTTCCACGCGACCCGACGACATTTCACACTAAAATTTAGAAATATTATAAAAAAGATTTTATTCACCGTATATTCGCTAGCCATCACTTTAGCTATATTTCGCGCAATATAGAAACTTAGTGTCGAAAAACACGAAAAGAGCTATTTGTTAGATATCGTCATAAGAATGAAAGCG